AAAAGGACATGGGTACTTAAGGGTATTATTGAGCCAGTAAATCAACCAATCCTGGAATTTCCCCTAATTCCAGTCTTGCTATTATCTAAGGAGTTAAATTATTTATTGTTTAAGAGAAACACTTGTACTAGGGCTATGCTTACTTAAGAACTGAAAATATCTTGACTGTTGTACATGGTACAAAAGCAAAGACTTTGGGTCTAATCTCAGCTTCACCACTTACTACATTTAAGGTAAATATCCTTAAATCCTTCTATCTGGTTTTGTCCTACATACTGAAATAATTTCAATTGAATATATTCATCAACATAGTTAAATATAAAAAAGATACATACATGAATAAAACATTGTATTTTTGTTTAGAAATAGAATTGTGTAATTTTTCACCAATGTGTAAAATGAAAATCAAGGACATTTCTTTGATTACAGAATTACTGATTGGAGTTTCACATTCATATTGTGATAACTTTTGAGAGTGAAAAGGGTCATTATTCTGATGTGTGTATATATATATAATAACTATATAGTATATATTATGACTATATATTATATAAATATATGACTTTTGAAATACTGACTAAAAAAACTCTATTTTACAACTATTTTTAAAGTTTAAATTCTTTTAAAAATGAAATTGTATATTAGAACAAATGTTTAAAAATCTTAAAATTGATTACCTGAATATTTTAAAATAAGCACAATAATTAAATCTTCTTGATGTACATTTTCATACTATAATCAGTTTCTTGGCCATATATGGCTGATATGGTCACTGGTACTCCTTAAACTGATGTAGTTTTTCTAGTGTTTTTTCCTAGTTTGTTTTCTTGGTTTCCCCCCCCCCCTCCACAAAATTGCCTGAACCATTTTAAAGGTACAAAACCATCTTTGGGGTTTTTTTTTTAATTTTTTGGTTGATCAAAAAACAAACTTGTTGACAGAATACCAAACTATCTTTACTGTTTACAGTAAAGTAAAACATAATATACAAACTGGTGAACAAACAATAGAGACAACAACATCCCACCAGAACCCATACAGCAAAACTGAGGAAACAAAGAAATTTCTGGAAGATTTGAAGGAAAGAAGGTGATGGGTCATTGTCAGGTAACTATAAAAGTCAGAGAATGGCCATCAAGCAACAATGAATCCTTATAGGACAATAGACAGAATTATGAACATTTTAAATGGTATGGATTCCCAAATATCTCACAGAACTGGAGTCACTGTTCTAATGCATAATGTCGATATTTATTTGGACAGTGGCAGAGTAAAACCCTGTAACACTAAGTCACCTTTCTGTGGGTTTCTTTTGCAACCACACTTTTATACAGCTCTTTTATACAACATAATTGCAAATTCAGTAATATTTCATCTTACTTTTTATAGAGAGACCATAATTATTTGTTAGAAGTAAATC